TTGAAAACTTGCAGTTTTTGGGCGGTTTTTCTTGTCTTTTGTATAAATAGTCGAAATTAGACTACCGCCAAATTTTTTTGTCATTTGATCTTCGTTCCTCTTGAGAGAATAGCTAAGGAGAGAGTGTGAGAGTGCATTCAAGAGAGGATTCCTACCACTAGAGCGTGAAGGCTTCATTTAGAGTTCAAAGGTAAGAATCTCTACTTGTGAATTGGGATTACTTCACTCTTTTCTTTCTTCCTTTTAGATTTCTTGTGAGAAGATCTGTCAAGGAGATCCGGTTCGCTATCGACAATTGTAAAGTGTAAATAGCCGAAGGGTTCGCTGCCTACACTTGGAGAGTGTGAACAGCCGAAGGGTTCACTGCCTACACTTGGAGAGTGTGAATAGCCGAAGGGTTCTCTGCCTACACTTGGAGAGTGTGAACAGCCGAAGAGTTCTCTGCCCACACTAGAAGAGTGTAAAAGGACAACGGTTCTCTGCCAACACTAGGGATTGTGTGAAAGGACGGACGGTTCTCTGCCAATACTGGGGATTGTGTAAAAGGACGACGGTTCTCTGCCGCACAAGGTAGTGGTGGAAAGAGTGTGGTGGAAAGAGTGTGTTCTAATGCTTTAAATGTAGCTGACTTGTTTTTTAAAGAAATTGTGCATCTTTATGGCATACCCCGAACATTTACATCTGATAGGGACTCTAGATTCTTAAGTCATTTTTTGAGAACACTTTGTACTAAGTTGGGAACTACTCTTCAATTTAGTAGTGCTTATCACCCACAAACTGATGGACAAACTGAAGTTGTCTACCGAAGTTTAGTGAACTTAAATAGATATCTTGCTAGTGAAAAACCTTCCCAATGGGATTTGATTCTACCCTAAGATGAGTTTACCTATAACAATTCTATTAATCGATCTACTGGAAAAACTCTTTTTGATATTATTTATGGTCAATCCATTCCTCACATTTTGGATATAACTTATTTACCCTTTCCAAACAAAATTAGTGCTAAAGCCACAAAAACTATTGATCACATTAAATCAATCCAATAGCAAGTCCTCAAAAAGCTTTGTATGGCAAATGTTAAATACAAATCTACTACTGACAAACACCTAAGAGAGTATTATTTTAAAGAGGGTGACTTAGTTATGGCCTATTTTTGTCGTCAGTGTTTTCCCGTTGGTACTTTTGGCAAGCTAAGCCGGAAAAAATTTGGACCTTTTTTGCATACTGAGAAAATTGGGCACGAATGCCTACCTTATAGATCTTCCTATCTCAGTTGGAACTTCTCAAATATTTAATGTTGCTAACCTTACTTTGTATGAAGGAAATCCAGTTGACTCTATGGATGTAGAGACTCTACCAGTTACCAATTCCATTATGAGCAAGGTGATCAGATTGAAGATGTTTTAGATATTAGGACTACTCAATCCAGACATGGAGAACACAAACGGTTCCTAGTTAAATGGAGCAGCCGTCCATTGACTGATTGTACCTAGATAGATGCGGTGGAGCTAAAGAATTGTCATCCTGATCTCTATCATAGAGTTGTTGAAGCATTCTCATCAGGAGATGAGATTCTCCCACCTGGAGGGAATTGATGCAAACAATTTCATTTTTGTTTTTATTTTTGTTGAACTATTTTTTAATTTGAATTTTATATTTTTTTTCCTTTTTTTTCCTACCCTATGATGGAAGGCAACCAATGATCATGTGTAGGTTGTTCTCTTTGATAGGTATTGCCTTTGGTGTGCTAGCTTCTTTGATGCCATGACTTGTGTGCTGATTTAGATTTTGATCCAAGTTCCTTGGGTTTGTTGTTCCGGGTTTTGCAGCCTTGTATGTGAGATATTGTGTTCTGCTACCTTTTTCAGCTCATTATTATGAACTGCTATGTTCTGCTGCCTTTTCTGGCTGCATGCCGGGTTCATCCCACTCTGTTTTGCCCCTTCGTTTTCTATGCTTTCCCGGTTCCTTCTCCTTGCGCTGGTTGTTCGTTGGTTATATCCTGTTGGCCGTTTGGGTGCTGCTCCATTCGGTTGCCTATTGGCCTACTGCCTCCCCTTTGCTGATTGAATAATATAGGTGACTGTTTGGGCGGTTTGGCTTCCTTTCATCTTCTAAATAGTGGCTTATTTGTGACATTTGAGGGATTTTTTTGGTGAGTGAAGATTCTTAAAAACCCGAGGGTTTCTTCTTGGAAAGCTTGCGAGCTATTTTCAGTTCTCTTCTCCTCTCTCTGATTTCGTCTTGGGCTTCTTACCTACTTCTTTTCTCCATAAGTTTCCACCTCACTTGTATCTTTCTTCTCAAGTGCTTGAAGGTGTTGGTCGGCCAGTTTGGTAGTATTTGTCGGAGGAGTTTGTGGTGGACGTTGGCCCAAGTTGTTGTGGTGGACCTCTGGTTTTCATGTCTTTTAGCACTTATCTTTTTCTTACTATTTCGTTTCATGTGAGGTGACCACTTGTTGGTTGTTCTGAGGGTAGTTTTTTTATTTTTCATTTTTGTTTATTGTCTAACTTTTGTTTGTTTTGAGGTGTGTTTGATCTTGGTCTACAAAAATTTGAATTGAGAAAATTTTTCTTTCATTAATGTTCTCCTTTGATTTTTTTTAATCTAGTTTTCTGCATCACTTTGAGTCTCATATTTATAATCAAGTCATCCCAAAATTTCAATAAAAGGGATTAACAAATAAAATCTACCACCACCTCCTGAAGATATAAGAATTGCAAAATTCATATAACAAAATATAATCTTGTAGTCACCCGAATGATGATCAGGTTGGGGAATTAAACCATGTAACTAACTCAAACGAGCAAGAGAAAATACAACAGAAATAAAGAACACCAAAATTTAATGTGAAAAAGTCTGAAATATGGAAAAAAAACTACAAAGCCACATCACACCAAGAAATTTACTATGAAAATTTGGGAGATATAGTACTTATATATTTTCTCTCTCGCTCTCTCCATGTCTTTATTCTCAATTGCACCATTTTCTACGAACAAACAAAGAGAAAACATATAAAAACCACCAAGGGATGCAAATGAAAAATAAGAAACAAAATTTCCCAGCCTTCTCATAGTGCTGCGACGCCACATTTTGTCCGTCACAACTCTCCACTCTCTGTCTTTAGTCTGTCTGACAAAGCCACAATGTTGGGGCCTGAAATGCCGCAGTGTTCCACTCTCTGTCTATTTCCAAGAAACTATACAATGCCGTAGTGCTGTAGGGTTATATGAAAAAATAATTTTCATGTGCAAAGTATCCGAACTCAAGCAAGGGGAGGACCCCCGGTAACCCGTGCAAAGTATCCAAACTCAAGCAAGGGGAGGACCCCTGGTAACCCCACCAATGAGCTCGGTTGTTGGAATTGAGGTTCTAGGTAGCAATACAAATCGATTGAACGACATAGTTAAATTCCACACAAAACAAACATATCACAGAAGTTCTGCTTGCAAGTTTTGCAAGATTGCGGAAGACCCTCAATCATGACTCAGCAGCCGCTCAAATAAGGATTAGGTGAGGCTAGTAGGCTCAAAATGCATGGCATGGTTCATAAGCACGAGAAGCACTAAAGTCGCAAGTAGTAGAGAATCGACCTTTGTAGAGACCTAAATCATTATACAATCCAACTACGTAGGATTAGCTAATTCAAGTTTTAGTGAATAGAATCAAACCTAGGATGGAGTTCAGAAAATTAGAGAACATAATATGTTCTCTCAAGAAACATCATAAGTACGATTCAAATAAGAAAATTAAAATGAAAATGTCTAAGACCAGAGAAAACTACTTTAAAAAAATCAATATTTAAATGGTCAATTTGCTCATTTCATCACACACATCATATGTTTCCCAGGAGTTGAACTTTGAAATTTGCATAAAATTGGTAGCATGAATGTTAAATCTATTTTAGTTGAATATTATTAAGAATATATGCTCTTGTATTGAAACACTGTGTTGTGATAAAAAAATAAGCATGATGTTGCCTTGAGTAGAGTTTTAATTATTTTGTACATAATGAAAATCAAATTGACTTGCTTTTATAATATCAATAAAGATTATGCCACTTGTAAAGACTTAAATGAGATATAGGATATCTTAAATATTGAATTGCCTATGCTCAATGAAAATTCATGATTAAATGTGACTTTCTTCTTAAGAAAACTTGTTTATGCATTTCTTATTCATTCATAAGAGATTATCTTATTCTAGAATTATATGATGATGCTATGTGCAATTATGGTTGTGATAAAGCTAAATTCATGACAAAGAATAATATTATTAAGTTTTCTAATTTTTATTTATGAGATATGAAGGGCGTGCAACTTGAATTTATTATTTGAGCAACTCAATTGTGTTTTTAGGTTGGTATCATGGTTCATCTATATCTCGTGATTTAATATGTTTATTGCAACACACGAACTCATGAAATTAAAAAGAGAACAAAGTTCTACGGGAAACATGTTAATATTATGAAATCATAGCTATATTATTGTATTGATTGATTATTTCACACTTCTTTGAGTTGATAGACCCTTTGAAATCAATTAAAGTTGTAGTACCACATATGATATCTAAGAGAAAGAGAAAGATTATAAATGTGGGCAGTGTAGCTGCTTTGGCTCTAGGTCCTTGGGCAGGTGCTTATACTACATCCAAAGATGCTCTTCATGCTCTAACTGACACCCTCAGGTTGGTTGGCCTTTATTGCTCTTCTTTATATTTTCTTAAACTATGATTCCAGACATGAATTCTCAATCCGGTTCTTGTACTTGTTGTTTTCCTTTCAACAGTGAAATTTAATTATATTTTTAATTATTAATTGCATGACTTAATAAACATGATAAAGAGTCGGAAAAAAATATCAGGATTCAAGTGAACATTGGTGCATCTTCCTAGTTTTCTCAAAATTACAATAATAACTTTTTTGATTAGATGTGATACAACTTTATTTTTGCTATTTTGGAAGACTAGACAAGCCATTTGGTATACGTGTTATAACTATGGTACCAAGAGCTATTAGATCAAACATTGGAAATTCTTCCTTGTCATCCTATGATTGCATGCCTGAGTGGAAGTTCTACAAACCATTTGTGAAGGCTATAAAGGCACGGGCTGATTTCTCTCAAACCGCCCAGTCAACTCTAGCCAATGAGTTTGCAAAGGAGGCGGTGGCTGATATATTGTAGAAAACTCATTGGTTGGAGTTGATCGGACGGTTTGGCAGGACTCATTTGATAATGAGGAAGATTGGGTAATGTTGGTTCAGCGAATGTGGTGTTGGATATCTCTCATTGGGGCTAAAGCTTTTGGCAGTTCTTCAGGGGTTATGTCAGAGAATTCATTAATCAATGGACTTATTTCCTTGGGAATTTGAGAGTTTTGTTTAGACTCTTTTCCTAACAGTAGATATGTTATCTTAGATTGTTTTAGCTCATTCATGTTAAGGAGTAATTCAAGAGTGTTTGCTTTCGTTGTTTTGGTATTCTTAGCAGGTGGGTCAAGAATGTGCTTTTGAGGGTATATAGTGAATTCCTTATTGTTTTGAGTGAGAGTGTAAGTGTTATTTTCCCCATTATGAATTGTTTTAAGATCAAATTGCCAGGGATGATCCAATAATATATGACAGACTTCAAGAGGCATGATATCACAAAAAATTCTGGAGACTGTTAAGATAAGACAAACTAAATTTAAGATAATTTTCTTATTAATTTTCAAAGTAATTTTTTACTATAAAAAATTCTGGAGACTTTATTTATGAAAACTTTTGATCGATATTTTCTTATGCTTTTATTTTTATATTAAAAATTATTTTATAAAATAGAAAAAAAGACGTCCGGTAGCTTTTTAAGACACCCCTAGGTTCGGTTACATGCGTCAAAGGTCTAGCCCAATCGCCAAACCAAAGCCGCAGGTCCGTTGGCCCGATTTATGAAATCTAAATTTTAACGAAGCCTTCTTTTAAATTCTCCTAGAAGGTTAGGATAACTTCTCTTCGAACCGACTTAGGAGGCCGCGAGAGACTCCGACTCTGGTAGGTGGAGGGATCGGGCAACGAAAGTAAGAGGCAGGAAAAGTTTTCTTCGTTATTCTTTTCGGAGTTAGTGGATCATTTGCCGCAATGATTTGAAGGTTTTCATCACCCCTTTGTAACTTTTCCTCTATCGATTTTCTTTGGGTACAACTTCATCTTTCTTTTTTCCTTCTCCTCCGCCATTTTATTTAAACTTGTTCTATGATTTTCCTTTAAACATTTTTCAGAGTTGGTTCTGTATCTGGCAGCTTCGTTATTGAAAAATTTTTATTGCGATCAGATATTTTAGACAGGATTTTTATTTTTTCCCATTCTTTTTTATCTTGAATTAAATTTCCTGCATGTGAATTTGGAGGCTTTCGTCTGGTCAAGCTCTTGGGAGGCGGCACAGAGCAGGCCTAGGGCAAGCTTTTATTTTTTCCCTTAGAGATTCATCTACTGCATTTACCAGTTTGTTTTTCTTTAAACACCTCATTTTGTTGAGGAAAAAAGTGGTTGCAAGTACTTTCTTGGAACGGCGGTTAAATGTATTTGGTAGGAGAAGTTATTATAAGCTGTGGTCAGAATTTTTTTTTTCTTTCTTGATATAATGGCGAAGAATGAAGTCCTGATTTCAGAAACAATTCTTGACGAGTTTTAATAGTAGAGTGGACACTTGTCTAGTTGTTATAGTTTCTTGCATTATTTTCACGATGACCACCATTGTTTTGTCTTATACGCAAATCATAAAGCTTGAGAGCTGACATAAACAAGCAACCAGTTTTATGACTAAATAGTTATTTGGCTAGAATTAGTGAATTACTATTGATTATCTTTGTTCTATTTTAGTGAACCTGGAATCAACAAACAAGATGATAAAGGATATTGCATCAAATTGATCTATAGTTTCATGGACTTGTAATTTGACAGCGCAGGATATAGGGATGCACATACTGATTTTACTAGCAGAAATTGGTTTTGTTGTTTAAATTGTAGGGTTTCTTTAGTGTGTATGGCAATATGCAAAAAGCATTGTGGACCAAATTTTATATAAAGACAGCTACAATTCCTCTTTTTTCGTCTTTCTTGAGATACTTCCATGGATTAGTTGGTGACAGTTGCTTATGCGAGTCTTTTTGCTACAACTAATAGTAGTCAAAATTATTTTTAGACTATTCAATGAAGAATAATTAATTCAATTATTTAAAAAAGCTATTTCTTTTATCATGATTCTTGAGCTAATTTGGTTCTAAGTTAGGGAAAGCTATAATTTAGGAATTATAATTTTCCTGGTGACTTATTATTTATAAAGGAATGCAAATACGCGCGTATACTTTATTTATAAATGTTTCAAGACACAAAATTACAGGCCTAACAGCAAATTGAGTCCATAAAAAAGTGATGAAGTTCATAATTATAGACTTTTTTTAAAGGGAGGAATAAGCTTAACGAATTTTAAAGTTAGATTGTTAATTTGGATTATATTTTTTTTTTAAATCGCTGCAATGAAAGTGTCCGGACATGCTTAATATTATTAGTGAAGTGTTGGCACTAAACTTATATGGGTCAATATTTAACACAAACAAAAAGAACACTACTCATTCAGTTTCGTTGAGGACTAACTGAATGATCAACGTTGCTTATTTACTAGATGGAAACTTTTAAAGTTAGCCATAGCATTTGGTAGCTATCATACTTTGTCAAACAACTAACATCAAACCTTCTCAAATCCCTATTGGCAAGAAGCCCTATGCACTATGCACTTCCCTGCATGTTTATAGGTTAGTAGTTGAAAACTACTGCTCTGTTTTATATGCTTATCGTAATAAAAAGAGGTGCACTTAGTTCGTGAGGTATATGATGACTGCAAGACAAGCCATTTCTAGGAAACCTATGTCTTCCTCATCATTATAGGGCAACCTAACTTTTAGCGCATACCCTCCCTCTCTAAATGGTTCTCCTTGGACCTGTAAGAAATTAGTCATTCATAATTCCTTCTTTTTACTAGAAGTCATATGTAACCCAGAAGTTTCTTTGAAGCATTGATATTATTACAAAAACTAATCTGATAATTAGTTCTCTGAGAAGAGATTGATATGCCAAACTCATGGATCATGAGCAATGAAATCCAAATATCTATTTTATCATAACATTTAATGTTCACAATAAAAATAAATTAGAATATTATGCTCTTATGTATTTGTCAAAGTGATGGGGACATCGATATGAGGTTTCGACGCGCTTATCAGAGGCGACACAGGAGATCGATGGCCATGATGGAGAGTCTTTATTTTTGATGCATTTTTTGTATTAGCATTTTATGTACTAGTTATTTTATTTCAGTTTTTTTTTTCTGTTTTTGTCCTTATGGGTAGTTGGTCGCTATTGTAGCCCAAAGGGCATCCTAGTCTTTTGCTTTATTTGTCATTTTGAGGCGTATATATATGGCCAACTTCTTATGTATTTTTAGTTTATGATTGAATGAAAATTTTCTATTGTTCTTGGTTCTCTAAGTGAGTTCAAGAGGGAAGAGGGATCTCTTTGTGAGTTCCACGATTTCAAGATCTCTTTGTGAGTTCTTTGATCCTTCTATTTTTATTTTCTTTATTTTCCCCTCCCCACCCTCATACCGCCGACAACCCTCCCTCCTTGGCCACCGGCGGCAGCCCTCCCCCTTGGGCCCCCCCCGCCGGCCCCCCTTTTTCCCGACCGCCCCTCCATCCAGCCCAACCGAAACCCCCCACCACACCCAAGCCGCCGGCCCCTTGCTCCTCCCCTCTCCAATTTGAATTTCAAATTGATCCATCATTAGTTTCCTAAAATAACCCCTTAATTTTGGGTAGAGTAATTATTTGAATTCAATTCAAATATTTGAATTCAAATAATTTCCTCCTACTTAATTCCCAATTTGGCAACCCCCCACAATTAATCAAAATCTGAAGTTAATTTCAGATTTTATTCCAGTTAGCAATTAATTCCTTTTGGCCACATTCATTGAATCTAGACAAATCTCCCACCTTCCACTATGGCTGGTCCCCCCTTCCCCTTGCCTTTCTCTCTCCAAATTACAATTAAAGCTCCACTAATTACTCCCCAATTCCCTCCCCATTGCTGCCCCTCTTTCCCTCCTTGGGTTAAGTTGAATTTCAAATTAAATCCCTCTCCCAAACTACTAAAAATCTGAATTTATCTCAGATTTCCTGCACTTGCCTCTTAGCCTCCCATCGTAACCGATTCCCCTTCTAGACCTCACGCCGGTTAGCCCCTTCCCCTCCAAGCCGCCACCTCCTCTTCTCCTCTCCCTTCTTTTGGGTGCTCAACCCTTGGCAAGGATGCATGGCGGATCCTGAAGTTGACCACGGATTCGTGTTCGACGTCTACAGAGGCATCCACATCGTTCGATCACCATTCTTCGACGTAGGGTTTGGTTTTGACGACACCGTTGAAGATTACTTGAACTGAATCCTCCCCACCCTAGTGGACATCATCGACGATTAATTCTCGGACTACAAGTGGACCATCAACGGTCATCCACCTGTGCCATCTCCACCTCCGACTACCTTCCCAACAACGACATTCCTCGGCTCGTCCGTCTTAGTGGCTACCTCATTTCTAGTGTGGACGATCTTCCTCCGCTCAACCTAGATTCGTATTGAAGAGAGTAGATCGTCAAGGTAAACAACTCCTTATTAACTTTTGGATTTGTGTTATAAGCTTTTACTTTACTCTACTTTTGTATTTAATTGGAAGCGCCTTGGTCAATCTTCATGCAATTATTTGCCTAAGCAAGTGGAAGACCGCGAAGTCCTTTACTTACTTTGAATTGACACACAATTTTATAACGGTTAAACTTTTAGTAAATTTTCCTACTAATCTTGTGTAACTCCAAGCATGTATAACATCACAAAGCCTATTCATAACTAATCAGTCTGCCTTCTTTCTAGGAGAAGAAAATGGAACGTTTTATTTCTTAACTATGTCAAGTATTCACAATCTTATCTTACATCCTGTTTTCTTGATTATTGAACGTATATCTATCTTTCTTAATAAATTCACCAGCTTATACATCACGTGGACATGGATTAAAATTGTTTTTTCTTAATTCTTTTAAATAGCCCCCTTTTATCCTTTCGTCAAGACATGAATTCTCAAGTTCATCTCCAAAAAAAGCAAACTAGAAGCCTGCTTCTGAAGATGAAACTTCTAGATCAACAAATAATGCATCCAAACTCATCCTAGGCAGTGTGGTTGTTGGAGCTGCAGTGATAGAAGCATATCAGACTGGCTACGTTAAACTTCATGTTAAAGATGATAATTTTTTTCTTAGAACTAGCAACCTAGACACTATCAAAGTGACTACAGATTCTAAACTTCCAGCTGACAAAGAAATCCTGCATTCAGCTGACAAAGAAATCTTTCTAAGCAGTGAAATCACAAGCCAAGTGAAACCAAATGCAGAAAATGTCGAAACAAGTGAAACCAATAATGGTTGTAACTTTAAGGTCAATACTGGAATTTCAGAAACAATACCCATACAGGAGGAATCAGCCCCTTACAGAGAAGAGAAGATATCAATTTCTGTTGAGAATGCTACAGCAGCTCCTGTGGAGAAAGCATTGAGTTCTGAAGAGTCATCTAAAGAATTATTAAACAAGGATAGAAGTATAACAATTATTAACTCCAACCAAGAAGAAAGTAGGACAACTGAGGGTTCCATGGAACAGATGGAAGATCTAGTTGATAGATCACTTCATCATTTAAAAGATGCTGACGCAAAGGTTTCTGATTTTTATCAAGATACCCGACCAAAGTGCAAAAGGTATAATAATTTTGAGTTGTTCAATACTTCAATTCAATATTTAAAATTGTGTATTCGGATATTGAGGCGTTTTTCATTCGTGAGGCGAGGCGTAAGCCTCAAAATCAAAAGATTGCGTAAACATAAAATGATAAATTTTTTATATACTAATGAGTGAATAATATAAAATATAAAAAAGCATAAGATATGAAGTGAAATCAAAATATCCCAATAATAAGACAACATGAAATATAGTTCAACTCAAAATTCTATCTTTCCCAAATCCCAATATTCTTTTCATTAACATATAATTCAATTTTCCAAAAATAAATAGCAATGACATATCACATAAGAACTCATGAGTCATCAGCACTGTCATCATTAAGGGGTTCTTCATTTGAATCATCATTATGATGAACTGCTCTCTCCCCTTCCTCCTCTCCTATAGAGTCCAATGTCGGGCATTTACTTCAAGATTTATGTAAGTTTTAATATATATAGCGTGAGGCGTAAGCCTCATGCCAGTGAGGCGAGGCGGGCTGCAACCAAGTTGAGGTGCAAGCCTCATAAAAAAAACTCAAGGCGTAAGCATCGAGGCATTTTTTGTTGGAATTGCGCAAAGGCGGGCCTCAAGGCAAGCCTCGTATTGCGCAATTTTAAACCATGCTTCAATTGAATATTTCTTGTCCTTATCTATTCTTTTTGTTGATATACGCTAGTTCTTTTGTTTTTGTACCATTACATTATTTCATATATTAGTTTAGCAGAAACGATTCCTTTTTTTTTAGAGAATGCAGAGTTGCATTAAAATGAAAAAAATAATAATCTAATACAAACTAGGAAGTAAAAAAAAACCCTAATAGATCCTTTATCTAGAGAAAAAGAATCCTTATTGGATGCAATTTTGTTAATGTCAAACCTATTATTTTGAAATGAAACCCACTGTTTCCTATTTTGAAACCTTTGAGATGAAGGGGATACCAAAGATTTAAAACAACCCAAAGGTTGATTAGTATCCCAGAGTTCCCATCCAGTTAAAGAATAGGATCTAGTAACGATCCCATAAACAATTATAATAAGTTTAAATAACAAAAATGCCAAAAGAAAAAACCGACTAAAAAAGAAACTCAATAGAAAATTACATAAATACCCAGACAATCTCAAAATACCTAAGTAAAATAATAATAGGTATTTTAGATGTCTTATCCAAATGCCAAATTTGTCATACCAATCAAAATAAATGGAAAATTCTTTGAAACGAATTTCCAACCTCATGAGTCTTACTGCTTTGCTGTTAGCAATGATAATTTCGATCATCATATTACTAAAGATTTTGGGAAGAACTTCTCAAATCGTTCTTCCTGATGATATCAGAAATGATTCTTTTGGAAAAAGAAAGATTGGCACCTAAAGTTAATTATAATGTAGCTGCATGCATCTGTACTGTTCCAGAACTCTATTTGCAAATTCATTTCATTCCTTCTAAGACTTGTAAAACTAGCCTCCAGTAAACATCCTAAGCAATGGAACACCCTGTTTGTGCTCCTTGAACTTGGTAAAGTCTGACGAGGCTTTTTCTTTAGCACATGATTTTTTTAATCCCAAACTAAGTGTCGAAAGCTGCAGGCTAAGTTTCAGAATCTTGTAGTTTGGTATTTTGTTGTTGTTTGACATGTTCTGTTTTTAGTTGAACCCTGTCAGGGGGTGCTGCCCCTTTGGACCCCCGGCATATCTGTGAAATCTCTACACTTTTACTTATAAGTGTAGATGATTTCATAATATTTTTTTTAATGGTTCTTTGATTAGTGCTAAAATAGTTATGATTTATTTGAATAATTTGTTTTTTAGCATGCATGTGAGTATTTTACCCATACAAATAGGATTTTGGTGAAATTTTGTGTTGCAATTCTAATAGGGCCCTTCTATGTTAGGGGTTTGGTAAATTATACTAATATATTCATCTCATAAAGGATGATTAGAAGTACAGATAAAGCTGCATCGAGTCATATAAATGATCCAACATGAAAATATAGCACTCAAGTGGATGTAGGAGGCCATGAGAAAACATATGTATATTTGAAATGCAATTACAATGCCAAAATTGTGAAGAGTTGTGTGACTAGGATGAAGGAGCACCTTTCAGGGTCTCACAAGAATGTTGCACCATGTTGTAAAGTGTCTGATACAATCAGGGAGGAGATGAAGACAATACATGAATAATTCTATAACCTCAAAGCATCTTACACAAAAGCAAAATGATAACAGAGTTGATGTTGGCTCCTACTTTGGGAGTGAGCGTAGTGGTAGGGATTCATCTTTTATGATAAATATCATATCTTCTAGGGGTGTAAGAGATCCCATGGATCATTACATGGTGCAAAAATTAGAGGATAGGCCTCCAACTTCATAGAGGATGGCCCCAGAGAATGCTAGGGAGTCACGGAATAGAGTATGCAAGGATATATATAGATTCTTCTATGAAAATGCAATCTCATTTAATGTTGCAACATCACTTGCATATTACAACATGATTCGGTCAATTGGAGCATTTGGGAGAGAGTTCAAACCTCGAACCATGTATGATTTGAGAACGTGGATTTTGAAGGAGGAATTGGATACTACTGAGAAAAACATTGAAGAAATAAAGAGGGTTTTGGGCTAACAGGTGTAATTATTATGTGAGATGGTGGCTCGGATAGGATGAATAGAAGTTTAATCAACATTTTGATTAATAATCATTATATTACTGTATTCTTGAGGTCAATTGAAGCATCTGATCAGGTCAGGGATCCTGAATACATATTTGGATTATTAGATAGCATTGTTAAAGAGGTTGAAGAACATTTAGTATTACAAGTGGTAATAGATGATGCCAGTGCTTATAAGGCTACATGAAAAAAACTTATGGAGAAAAGGAAATATTTGTATTGGACCCCATATGCTGCGCATTGCATAGATCTCATTCTTGAGAAGCTTGGGGAGTTGCCTCAACACAAGAATGCGCTGATAAAAGAAAAAATATAACTAAGTTTCTTTACAACTATTCTTTGGTTTTGGCTCTTATGAGAAAATTTTCGAAGAAAGAACTTCTAAGGGCAATAACCATAAGATTTGCCACGGTTTACTTGACATTGTAGAATATGTTGGATGCTAGCTTTAGAATCTATGTTTACTTCGACATAGTGGTTGAGTTGTGCATGGGCAAAAAAAGCTGAGGGAAAATAGGTTAGAAATATTATTTTTAAATGACATGTTTTGACAAAGTGTCTTATTCGTCATCACAACCACTAGACCTTTAGTACAAGTTTTGAGGATGGTGGATGCAGAGAAGAAGCTTGCTATGGGTTTTATCTACAATGCTATGGATAAAGCCAAAGAAATGATTGCCTGCAACTTACGGGGCAAAGAGGGAAGCTATAGGAAAATTTGGAATATTATTGATGATAGGTGGGAGCTACAACTTCACCGACACTTACATGCAGTAGGTTATTACTAAACCTTAATATCAAATATGCAGATAATAAGTCTACAAATCTAGAAATAAAGTTGGGATTGTATCATTGCATGGTTCAACTGATAGGTGATGGAATTAAAAGATCAAATGCTGACATTAAATTTGTACCTTTTAGAATAAGAAGGTTTTTTTGAATTACAATAAGCAAATGACACTATTTTCAAATGATCTCCAGGTAATTTCATTTGTTGGTTTAATCATTCATTTAAAAGTTGTTCTTTGAACATTGACAATACTCATTTATGTAAATCTTAGTTGAGTGGCGAATTAAGTTTGGTGATGACACTCCAGAATTGTAGCATTTCTGTGAAAGTTTTGGGTTAACATGTTTTTCATCTGACTGTGAAAGGAATTGGAGTACCTTCAACCAAAATGCATACAAAGAGGAAAAATTATTGTCAACGTTAAGGATGAATTCACTAGTAATTATATACAATAGGAGACTCCGAGACATAAACATGAAAAAAAAGTGTTAAAAGATAACGAAGATTCTTTGCTTTATGAGGATATGACATCTGATGATGAGCGATTTGTAGATGATGAAGTGGAAGTGATGTCGTCTGAATTACGAGAGAAAGGTTTAAATGGTGATTTCTTTGATGGTCATAGAGCATCTACATCCACCAAACTCAAGAACAAATAAACAAATGTATATAAATAACATATTTTCTTAGAATTTACTTTATTAATGTATTACTCATCTTGATATTGTTCAAAAAATATTTAGGGAAGAGGAAGATAACTGATATTGAGGAAGGAGTTAATTGGGAGACATTAGACTCCATAGGAGAGGAGGAAGGGGAGAGAGTAGTTCATCATAATGATGATTCAAATGAAACTCCCTTAGTGATGACAGTGCTGATGACTTCTGACTTGTTATATCAATTACTATTTATTTTTTGAATTACATGTTAATAAAAATGATATTGTGATTTGGGGAAGTTAGAATTTGAGTTGAACTATATTTTATGTTTTCTTATTATTGCGATGTTTGGATTTCACTTTAATTTCAAACAACTTATTACTTGACACTTCATATCTTATATATTTTTTTATATTTTATATTATTAGATTACTCATTAGTATTATAAAATTTATCATTTAACTTTATGCAATTTCTTGATTTTGAGGCTTACGCCTCGCCTCACGAAAGAAAAACGCCTCAATACCGGATTACGCAATTTTAAACCTTCTTCCAGGATTTTAAAAAATTCATTCACAACAACACTTCACACTATTCAAAATGAAAGACTTCAATATAACAAGCTCAATGAATTACAATTACTCATACAGAAATTAGCATCAAACTACATAACATTCTCTTTCCTAACTTACAAATCATTTTCTAGGACTCTAGTATTGATTCAATTCCTCCCAACTGTTGCTGTGATACCACTCTGTAATGCCCGAAGACCTAAATGAGGAATTTATCATACATTCTTTTTTTTTCATTTATTAATTCTCAGTACAATTTTTTATTTCTCTAGAGCCATTTAATCATCCAAATAATATAAAATAAACATCTAAAATGTGCATGTAGAATATTTCCTCCAAAATACTTAAATAACATAGTTCATAAGACAGTAATTGCAATGAAAGACTTAAATATATTTTGAACTAGAAAATCATGTGTACACTACAAAATCAGACTCCCTGCTCCTTGTTAGACTCAATTTACTTAACCGGACTTTTACCTTTGCATTAAATATTTTAAACATCTGAATGAGTTTAACACTCAGTAGGTCAACCCTTTCCTTATATCCTATGATGCACAGACACAGATACGGCGACACGGACACGACACAACACGACATGGGACACATCAATTATTGAAAATATAGGACGCGGACACGGGTTGGACACGGTATTATGATTTTTATATTTTAAAAATAGTGTATAAAAATTAAATAAGTATACAACAACAACAATAACAACATCAAGCCTTTATCCCACTACGTAGGGTTGGCTACATGAATACTTTTTCTCCATTGTGTCCTATAAAAAGTCAAATTCTTATTTAAATCTAATAAAGAAAGGTCATTCATAATATTTTCTAACCGAGTCTTTTTAGGTCTGCCTCTACCTTTCTTAATATAAGTTAAATCTAATACCTCTACTCTCCTAACCGGGTCATCGGGAGACCGCCGTTTTATGTGACCAACCCATCTAAGGCGACTCTCTCTAATCTTATCTTTTACTGGAGCTTCTCCAATCTTTTCACATATATACTCATTTCATATCCTATCTCTAAGGGTAAATCCAATCATCCACCTGAGCATCCTCATCTCTGCCACACTTAACTTAGTATTATGCTTCTCTTTTAATGACCAACATTCAACACCATAAAGCATTGCAGGCCTCACCACCATTTTATAGAATTTAAAAAATAAGTATAATTCAGAAATAAAAATTAAATAAGTATAATTTTAAAAATAATTTAAAAATAATAAGTCATTTAACTAGAATTTGTGCTTAAAATGATTATTATTAGGATGTCGAGAGTTGGGTGCCATGTCGTTTATCAGTCATCGAGAGAGGAAATGAAAATACCTTCACTGTTAAAGAGAAATGGAAATGATATTATTTGATGAATGGGATATTAAGTGCGAAAGATTGATTTGGTGTTGTGAATAGGAAATAAGAAATTTAGTTTTTATATTTTAAATAAGTAAAAATTTTAAATACAAGATATTATATTTAAAAAATCATAAAATATTTAAGATACGCATGTTGGACATGCATGTCCAATTTGTACTTAATATTTTTTTTTAATCGGACACATTTTTTGCATGTCCGACACGTGTTGTGTCGAATACGTGTCGGACACTGCACGCCTCTTTGAGGTGAAGTGTCAGTGCATCATTAGCTTATATCAAAGTTCAATTCACAAGTCATAATTAAATCAAACATAAAAATTAATTTTTTTTTTACTCTACAATTTTGGCATACTGGAACTCTGTTATGGAAATAAAAGTGCATTTTGAATTCTTTTTTTGAGCCCAATGCAAATGTATCTCTATTATGTATTATGTTCTACTCTTGCTTTGAGATGATTTTTTGTTGGAATATATTATATATGTCTGGCTTTGTTTTGCACCTACCTCAAGCATGTGGTAGGTGATAAATAGGATTTATAAGTGGGCATTAATACATATGCATTTATGCATTTATATTCATATTTGATCTAGTACGCAAAAATTGTAGAGTACAACAACAAGAATAAAATCAAGCCTTTATCCCATTATGTGGGGTCGGTTATATGAATTTTTTCTCCATTGTGTCATATTAAGAGTTAAATTCTCATTTAAATCTAATAGAGAAATGTTATTTCTAATATTTTCTAACTATGTCTTTTTAAGTCTATCTCTACTTTTCTTAATATAAGTCAAATCTAATACATCTACTTTCCTAATTGGGTCATCTGAAGGCCTCCGTTTTAAGTGACCAAACCATTTAAGGTGACACTCTCTAATCTTATCTTCCATTGGAGCTACTCCAACATTTTCACGTATTTGCTCATATCGTATCCTATCTCTAAGAGTAAAGTGACTCATCCACCTAAGCATCCTATCACGTATATGCTCATTCCTAACTTTTTCACGTATGATGCAATACAATGTATGACTGAGGAACTAAAACATTCATATAAAATATTGGGTTTTATATAAGAAACCCCAATTTCGGATGCATATTCAAATTTCCCATAATTTTACTAATTTTATAGAGGATATGTAAAATGCTAATTTGACACACTTTACCCGCTATACTGGGTCAGAAGTGCCATATTTGTCTAGAAAATTTAGAAATTCATACAGCACAAACCAGCCTATAAAATTTAGTATTCTTATAGTCAAATTGCCAAGAACAGTGTGTAAACAATATACTAAAAGTTATGCAGTAAAACTTTTTCCAAACTTAAGAAAAATACATTTATAATCATATCTTTTTATAAACATTTTGGAATTGAAATATTGGGTTTTATAAAAGAAACCCCAATTTCGGATGAATATTCAAATTTCCCAGAATTTTACTAGCTGAGGATATGTAAAATGCTAATTTGACACACATTGCCATCTATATTGAGGTTCAGAAGTGACATCTTTATCTAGAAATTATAGAAATTCATGCAAAGTCAACCAACTTGTAAAATTTAGTATTCTTATAGTCAAATTGTCAAGAACAGAGTATGTAATAATATACTAAAAGTTATGTTGTGAACTTTTTTCAAACTCGAGCATAATATAATTATAAACATATCTTCTTATAAACATTTTGGAATTGAAAAAAAAAGGGTATTAGTTGCCTACCTCGAGCCAAACAATTTCCCCAATTGGCTAAACGAATGATTTTCGTATTTCAGCTTTCAAAACCTCTCTTTATCTCACCTCTTCTCCTCGTCGTTCTTCTTCCCTTCTCCGGCAAGATGGCTGGGGTTCAAATGGGTTTGACAAAATAGATTTAGATATTTTAATATTTTAAAAGCAATATTCTGACCTAGCACCACGACAACGCCACTATGCTCCCAGAGAATTTTCTAGAATTTCTCCACCCGAGACTCTTTGTCATGGTGTCGCAGTGCAAACATTAGCTTTTTTTTTTCAATTTTCCTGAGAGCTCAATGGCGCAGTGCTACCAACCTTGGCATCGCGGTGCCTGCAGAGCAATTTTTCTTGCTTGTATTTTCACTTTTCCAACCCAAACCTTGGCTACTTACAACCCTATTAAACATTCTAAGGCTCATAATTGCTAATCATATTAAAATTAACAATCATTAATGAGTATTTACTTGAATTCCTGACGATGGATATTGCAGAAGGCTTATCAACAACATGCTAGTGTGGGAGACTTCAGCATTCAACAAGGTTTCTTCTTCAAAGGGAACTAGCTTTGCATCCCTCAGGCATCTTTGTGAAACTTTATCATCCATGACTTATGTGCGGGTGGGCTCATAACACATGGTGGTCGTGAAAAACTATAGTGGATGTCTAGGAGCGATTCTATTAATTACGAATGAAGGTAGACATTACCAAATTTGTACAAAAGTGCGGTGTTTGTCAAGCTGCAAAGGCTCAATATCAAAATATTTGTTTTTTATAGTTTGTTGTTGGTTTTGGATAACATTTAGGAAGATGTAAAGTATTGCTTTCATCTGGGATTTAACATTCGATCATTGAACGGACTCTTCCTTTGTCATTGCTGATAGGTTTTTGTAGATAGCTCATTTCATTTCTTGCTGGAAATTCACGGATGCAGAAAATATTGTGAATCTCTTCTTCTAAGAAATTGTTTGTTTACTTGGTATTCCTCGGACCATCACCTCCGAGCACAATGTTAATTTTTATAAGTTGCTTATAGCATGTGCTTTCTAGGAAAGTTGATACCGCTCTATATATGAGTAGCAACTATTTAAAAAGAAAAAAAAAACTGAGTGGCAACAATCACACGCTAACCAACGATCAGATGCCTGTTGTTAATTGCATGTTGGAATCCATGATTTACTTCACAACAGGTGTATGACCAAAGATATGGGACAAAGCTCTTGGACAAGTTGTGTTCTTTATCAATAGTATGGTTAACGGCTCTATTGGATCTTCACCCATTTCCATTATGCATACAAAGACACTTAATTTTATAAGTTGCTTAAACTATGAGTAGCAACTATTTTAAAAAAAAAACTGTGGCAACAATCACACGCAAACCAACGATCAAATGCCTGTGGTTAATTGCATGTTGGAATCCATGATTTACATCACAACAGGTGTATGACCAAAGATATGGGACCATGCTCTTGGGCAAGTTGTGTTCTTTATCAATAGTATGGTTAACTGCTCTATTGGATCTTCACCCATTTCCATTATGCATACAAAGACACTTAATTCCATAGTTGATCGTATTGAGCTGATGCCCTAGCAACACTACAGAAAGGCTGAAGATATCGGAGGACATTTGACACAGCCACACAATAAGCTAAACAAAAAATTGATCGATGTAAATGAAAAGTATAAAACAGCAGCCACTCTCTATCATCTTAAAAAGGTCTTTCAGGAAGGCGATTTAGTTATAGTTCACATCAACAAACATCTCTATCCCATAGGCGCATGCAACAAATTACAAGCTAAGAAGAATGGTTCATTTCTAGAAAAAAAAAATTGACAATGCTTACATTATTGATCTTCCTAAGCACATGAAACTTTCAAAACTTTTAATGTTAAAGACAGTTTTGAGTACCATCCTATTGATGCTGCGGAAATTGGTGAATTTAACTCTGATTCTGAGTTCTTCTGAAGAAATGGACTATTGATGCAGCAGCCCTGTTGCAATCTGGGTCATCGATCTTGCGATATGCATCCAAATCATTGATGATTCCGCCACAGTTTATCATCTGCTTTGAATAGTATATGTTTTAAGTAGTAAAAACCTTTTAGTTGTTTTTCCATTTGTTTCTGATTTTTGTGCTTTGCTGTCCTGCGTGACAGAAGCTAGTTTTAACTTCTTTTTTGCTTGGAGTAGGAGAATGGACGGGAGGAAGGTAATATACGGTATTGAATGTTTTTCTGGGTTTAAGAAAACTACTAAAATTCGAAGTTCACCCACCGCTCTTTCAATCCACTTCATGCTTCGATCTATCATTCTACTGTTGCTCTCCTACATAAGAACTTGATCCAGCTTGTAATCTCCAAACTGGATAAATTAGTGTGGGATGTCAACTTAAGAGTTGTAGACCAAGTTAAAAATTTAAACCCAACCTAAGTGGTATCTTTATATTTTTAGTTCTTAAATAGTGTTCAAATGAGGAAATTGATTTCACTGCATTGAGTTAACTTGATTTATTTCTTGGCTTAACTTATTATGCAAAACCAACATGAAAGCAAGATACAAGTGATCCTCAATTCGAGAGGAGGATTGTCTCTCCCAAATCTCTAGACAAGAGAGTCTAGAGCCCAAACGCCCAGAAACCCTAATTCTCAATCAATCAAAACATAATCTTCCCTTAATTCCCTCCTCCCCTTTAATACAAGATATTTCCTAATTTAATTTCCCTTCCTAGCCATGAGCCAGTCTAATAATACCGCCCTCCCAAAGAATCACCTTGTCCTCAAGGTGAAAATCAGGAAACTGATGTTTCGCTCTCATGTAGGGCTCTCACGTGGCCTCGTAGTCAGGGAGGTTCTTCCACTTGATCAACACTTCCTTATTCCCATCTTCTTTCTGGCAAACCCCCAGTAGCTCCAGGGGTTCCAAAAGAACTTCTAGATCTTTCGTAAGTGTCGCTGGTAACTCGGGGTTGGCTGTATAGTCTCCAATGGCCTTTCTCAACTGTCATATAAGGAAAATCGGGTGTATAGTCACCGTTGATGGTAGTTTTAGTTGATATGCAACCGCTCCGATTTTCTCCAGCACTTCATAAGGCCCAAAGTACCTTGGAGCCAGCTTCTCATTCCTCCTGTTAGCAACTGTCTTCTGTCTATACCGTCGGACCTTCAAGAACACCCTCTCCCCCACTTCAAACTTGATGTCCCTTCTATGCCCATCCGCTTGTTTCTTCATAATTTGTTGATTCCTTAGCAGATGTCTCTTCAGCTCTTTTAACACTCTATCCCTCTCCTCTAAGTACTCCTCAACTGAGGAAATTGGGGTACTACTACTCCCAAAGTGTATTAAGTGGGGGGGATTTCTTTTGTACAACACCTTGAATGGAGTCATCTGAGAAGCAGAGTGAAAAGAGGTGTTGTACCTGTACTCGGCCCATGATAACTACTTCGCCCAGAGCTTTGGTGTCTCCGATACAAAACATCTCAGATAAGTCTCCAAGCTCCTGTTCACTAATTCGGTTTGGCCATCCTTCTGTGGGTGGTAAGCTGTACTCCTCTTCAAAACTGTCCATTGCAACCTGAACAACTCTCTCCAAAAATGGCTGAGGAATATCTTGTCTCTGTATGATACGATCGCCTCAGGTATTCCATGTAATCTGACCACATCTATGATGAAGGCTGAAACCATTGTCATTGTTGTGTAGGGTATCAGAGGGGAATGAAGTGTTCATACTTGCTCAACCTGTCCACCACCACCAAGATCACTGTGAATCCTTTTGAACGGGGCAATCTATTTATAAATTCCATAGAGATCTCCTCCCACACTCTTCTCGGTAGAGCTAAAGGCTGTAGTAATCTTCCTGGTGACATAACCATGTACTTATTCCTTTGGCAGATCTCACACCTGGCTACCATCTCCTCGATATCTTTAAGCATCCCATTCCAATACAATTTCGCAGCTAGCCTCCCGTATGTCCTCTATATGCCTGAATGGCCCCCCACAATACTTTCGTGAAACTCTTGGAGTAAGTTTGGGATGTCGATCGAGGTCCGGGGCATCACAAATCTCCCTTAATATAATAGTTTGTCTCCCTCAAATGAGTACCCTGGGTGGCTACCCTCTTCTCTCAGTAAATTTAACCTGATATTCTCCAATCCTTCATCTCTAATACTTTCCTCTCTGACGGCCTCCCATTCAAGCATCAGGGGAATAGATAGTGCCACAGTCTGTAGCTCCCTCATGCAACTGGACAAGACATTTGCCGCCTTGTTCTCCACTCCTAGCTTATACTGAATCTCAAATCTTACCCGAGTAACTTGGACAGCCACTTTTGATGCTCCTCTATTACCATCCGTTGCTCCAACAGATATTTCAAGCTCCGCTGATCTATCCTGACAACAAAATGTCTCCCAAGTAGGTAGGGTTGCCACTTATGGATGGCCAAAATGATGGCCATTAATTCTCTTTCATAAACTGACTTCAGCCTAGCCCTAGCATTCAAAACCTGGTTGAAATAAGCAATGGGCATGTGATTCTGCATAAGCACTACACCAAGTCCGTATTCCGACGCATCTGTCTCCACAATGAAGGTCTAAGTGAAATCATTCAAGGTTAGGACCGGTACCGTCGTCATCACCTTCTTCAGGGTCTCAAATATTGTTGTGCTGCTTCCGCTCATAGGAACCCGTCCTTCTTCAACTGCTCAGTGAGTGACCATGCTTGGTGTTATACCCCTTCACGAACCTTCGTTAGTAAGTAGTAACCTATTAGTCCTAAAAATCCCCTCAGTTCCTTCAAATTTTTTTGGCACTGGCCACCTTAGCATTGCCTCAATTTTGGACTTATCTGCTGTCACCCCCTCTTTTGACACAATATTGCCCAAGTACTCAACACTGACTTGTGCGAAGCAGCATTTCTTCAAGTTGGCCCTCAGATGGTGCTCCTGCAGTACCTCTAGCACCCTTTTCAAATGCTCCCAGTGCTCTTCTGTCCTGCTATAGACCAGAATGTCGTCAAAGAATACCAGTAAAATCCGTCTGAGATAAGGTTTGAAAATCTTATTCATAAGGGCCTGGAAAGTAGCAGGAACATTGGTGAGGCCAAAAGGCATAACCAAGAACTCATAATGTCCCTCATGAGTTCTAAAGGCCGTCTAGGGTACATCCTCCTTCATTCAAATCTGATGGTAACCTGATTTCAAATCTATCTTGCTGAAGATCACTGTTCCACTCAATTCACATAGTATCTCGTCAATAACTGATTTAGGAAACTTATCAAGTATAATTTCCTTGTTGAGTGCTCGGTAGTCCACGCAAAAATGCCAACTGCCAACCTTCTTTATCACCAATAGAATCGGACTAGAGAAGGACTGATGCTGAGTCTGATGATTTCTGCCTCCAGCATCTCTTTGATCAACTTTTCTATTTCATCCTTCTGGAACTGAGGGTAGCAGTAAGGTCATACACTGATGGACAACACTCCCTTCTTTAACACAATGGCATGCTCTTGGTTCCCTCTGCGGTGGCAATCCCTGAGGTGGTTGAAACACCTCCTGGAACTGCTGAATCAATGGTTGAATGGAGAGGGGTATGTCTACTCCTTCCTCCAATCTCTCTCCCTCAAAATTGTGCAACTCCACTAGATACCCTCCGCCTGCCAATTGTGGACCTCCGAAAGAGCACCGCTCGTGGGGTACGAACGCAGAGGGTACAGCCGCACTATCCCGTGGGACAAAACGATCGTAGGCC